CTTTAACCACAACTTCATTACTTTCAAGTCGAATAAAGATTAACAGTATAATGAATGATTAGAAGCAAGTAAAATTAAATGAAGAAGAATCAAATGATATTCGAAATCTTGTTTGTTCATAAGTATACCATGGTATGAGATTATTTAAAATTATTGAAAATAATGGATTGAAAAGTCTCGTTCAAAAGTTTATTATTTCAGGTAACTTATTCTTTTTCTGATTGCACCTCTTTCAACTATGGCTATTATTTTTGTATCCGTCTTCTAAAATCAAAGTAACGTGAATTTGATGTAAATAATGCTTTACGTGATGCTAATATCATTTTGAGTCATATATTTCCCTCCTCCCAACACATTAGAAAATGCAAGAATATTCTACCTTCTCTTATCTTTCATAGGTTACAAGAGGATCTTCTAATATGTCTGTTAAAAAAAGCTATTTTTTGGCAGTATCGCAAACAAATTTTGGTTTCAGTCAATTTCCATCCAGTGCATCGTTAGAAAATGAGTTTATTTTATTTATTTCTCTTGCATAGAATGAGACAGAAGTATATATTATTCTGTGAAAAAGAAATAGGTTGTCTTTAATATGAAGTGTTCTTAAAACAGTATAGATAACATTTCCTAACATTTTGGTACAATATCCAATAGAATTCATTTCTCTGAAGAATTCTCTTGTCACCGACAACATGTAACTATCTAAATAACTCTAAAAAGAAAATCAACTTCTTTTTTTCCAATTTACTTAAGGTACCTGTTTATGTTGAAGTTTGATGACTACAGATGAAATTAGTTCCGGTGAAATCTACCAACAACATAGTTATAAGTTGTAAGCTAACCTGGATGAATACGAGTGTCTTCTGAAGAAACAATTCGCAGAAAAACAACAGTTGAATACACCTTTCTGTGTTTTCTTTTGTGTCGGTTTCGAAATATATTTTTGAATTTTATTGAAAGAAGAAACGCCTACTCAGGCTCATTAGTACTCACCCAACAAACTTCGAAGTATAACGTGCAGGTAGATTTTCTTTTCTTCAATTATGAAAATCTGTTTTGAAATAAAGACATATCTGAATCTTAGAAGAAGTTTAAAGATGAAACGACTTTTTATTAATACAAAACGAAATTTTATCTAATATGTTATTGTTTTACAAAGATCTTTTCGCGTGCTACATCTGCGAATGTGGACTCAACCCACTAGATCTTGCGAACATAGAAAGATTTTTCCAGACATACAAATTAGAGGCTTTTCCCAGAATAAACTACTACGAAGGACTAAAATAACTCTACAATATGTTTTCCAAAAAGACGTATTATTTTATAAATAGTTGTTTCATATTAGCTGTTTCTCAGAATTTTTCTAACTCGAAACTAACACATCGTTATCAAGACGAAAGTCAAATATTGTTCATACTGAACTTAGGCATCATTATGAATTTAAATTCTAAAAAAGTCAGTAGTCTCTAGAAATTGCTTTAAAAATATCGATTTTGTGAGGGGGGGGGGGGAGGGATCTTCTAATCTGTCTTTTGGCTCATTTAACAAAGAGGGTATTATATTATAGAAGAATCTTCTAGTGTGTCGGAAGGTTTATTTTCTTTTCCATTCTTTTGTTTTGCTCTTAAAGGAGTTCGTTGACACTAATCATTATATGTATTTATTGTAATGTAATTTATGACATAAAAGAATGATAAGTGAAAATAAATCACTTGCTATCATGGTAACTCAAGATATCTTTAAGAAAAGTTTATAATGAGATGGCTGACCCATTGACATCTCTGCTACCTATACCTTCAAGTATAAGCATATTAAATAAATGAAAAAAAACTGCAAGACATTTAAAAAGGACGTCATTTCTTTTTCTTTTCTTTTTCTATCATCTCGATGAACAAATACGAAGAAACATAGTCTCTTCAAATAGTCATTAATTTTTGCACAATACTAGTTCTTTTACTTCCTTTAACTTCCGATGAACAAAAGAGTAAGGCAATATATACTTCAACTAGAAATTGAGCCCATGACCAAGACTCATAAACACTGACCAGTGCTCTGACCATTTTTTTCTTTCTGAATGATACATAATCACTGAAAGTTAAAGAACGTAGAAAACTAATATCGTATTAACATTATACACTCATTTCCCATCCTCTGAAAGGCCATCAATTTTATTTGATAACCGAATTTTGAAACGTAAAAACATACGAATATCAGTTTCTTAATTTTCAATAGAAAAAAATTCTTTGGCTAAATAGTTTTTCTTATCATTCAGACACTTAAACATGATTTGAACCCAATAATTTTAGATCTGATGAATTCTAGTCGTCTGAGACATGTCTAAAGTCTGATAGTCGCTGAATACACAAAAAAATTAAAACGAATAATGTAAAACTGTAACTTTATACAAAACTTGTTCTTATAAAAATTTATTGATTTGTTTTTCAAATTATCTAGTTGTGATGTTCTACTTTTGTTGTCGAGTTGTGTCGATTACGCTCTTCTCAAATTTGATAATAATTGAATAAATCCATTGTTCTCTATTTTTATTCAATAACTTTATTGTATATTGTTTCTGTTATTTTATAAAAATAAATATAGTTTTCAAGTCAGTCGATGTTTTTAAATATAGTACACAAGATTATTCTTTTCAGTTATATATTATTTCTACGATGTTTATTGTCATACTATAGAAAGAAAAAATGATCTCTGAATGAATTGACCTAACTTTGATTTTCATTAGTGCTAACTATTTGGTTGTTTTTATAAAAAATTAATCGAAAATCACATGTACATGTATTTTTCAAACATATCTTAGGCAGTGCTGAAATATAGATCGAATCAAACAGAAACTAAAGGATATATTGTCATCTAACTCAGAATTCAGTAGTATTTCTATGAGAGAGAGTGGATGTGAATTATATCTTCACGCATACCTACATTCTTACTTGATAGCAGGAGGTTTTTATGTACGCATTCAAATATAGAAGGTTTTAACCAAATAGATACACGAGTTTTCGTATTGATACAACTGTATCAGCTGAAAGTACATATATGACAATAGGAGTTATTTTTTCAATACTGTCTAAGTTTCTGATGAAAGATAGCAGATGAAACCAAGAAGCTTTAAAACAGACATCGAATGACTAGTACAGTTTATCGCAGTTTCATACATCATTTTTTTTTGTTTTTTATTGTTTTCATTGTAATATTTCTTTACATACTCACCTCCACCTGTCTTTTCTACATCATCCTTCTCTACAGATAAGAATAATGTTACTCAACATTATTGTTCTACTGACAGTACTGTTTGTATCATCAACGCTTGGTCGTCTGTGCCTATGTCTGCCAATTCACATGATTATTATTGGAAAGTAGTACCATGCGGTGATGATCATTCCTCACGTTTGAAACGGCGAATCTTTCTCGAAGTTAGCACAGAATAAACCGTTGTTTTAACAAAATTTGAATCCTTATTATTCGCTAAATTCAGGCAAACTCGATATCTTATTTGCTCTAGAACTCGATTCTTCGGAGTAGAATTCTCGATCTCTGGTTTCATTCAGCGACTATAATCCAATGAATGATAACACGCAAATGAAGTCTTCATACCGATTCGATTGCCGAATTACGTGTGCCACCGATGTGTGCTACGAGCGCGCTATCAGACGAATAACCCAGATACGCAAGATTAGAGAACAACATTTCATTAATGTTTTGGTATTCGATTACTAAAAAGTGCTACAAATTTATTAAAACCTGCCTTCGATGGTAAACTATCAGTTAAATAGGTTTCCAGACGTGATTTATCCATCATAGACTGGATATTGATTACATCAGTTCAGGTTTTATTTATTACAATCAGCTGTTGCAGCAGATGTACATTGCGATGCTCGCTACGAGTATCGGGTACAACCTGTGGATAAATTTCACGTCGGGCGTGCATTATTATGAAAATGTAAATGAGAAAATAGACCATCTCTTTGCACTGAGCCTGTGGAACGACTGATTATATAGAAACATATTTAATTAGAGTGAAAACTACCTGACTGTCAAGGTATCATGTCCAAGTAGTGATTTTAGTTTTTATAATCAATGCAACATACGTACCCAGGTCGAAATCATCCTGTCGGATCCGAAACTATCCGACGATTTCCGTTGTCGGATTCCGACAATAAGATCCGATGATATCCGGCAAAAGGAACTTGTCGGATCCGATGAAATCCAATACTAGAAAAATATCTATAGGTAGTTTATTTTATTTTATTTTATCTAGTTTTTTTAATTTATTTACATTTTGTTTTACCTAATTTTTTTATTTATTTTATTTAAATTTTATTTTATGTAATTTTAATTTTATTTAATTTATTTTAATTTTAATTTTGTGCTTTTATACAATAGCGCCACAAAGTATCTTATTTTCTTCACCATAGCTTACTTGCTTGTTTTGTGACCAAACAGATGTCTTGAGTGCTTATAAGACTTCATCGGATTCTGACTGTATCCGACATTTTCCAACAATCGGATCCAACATCCGACAACTTCCGATAGGATTCTGTCGGAAGTTGTCAGATTCTCCAGGGAATCCGATCGGATCCGACTGTCGGATTCTTCGTCCTGGGTAGTAACAGGTGATTAGATTACAAGATTCAAAATTAATATTGTTTGATCTCGATTTAATTCTGAATCATATCACGATTACTAAATGTTAAAAGGTGAATACTGATCAGAGCCGAACGTTTAAATAAGAGTATTTCTATGGAATCTCACCACTCAATTCAGATATAATCTCCAAACCTAATGAAATTTCCAAGATTGGCAGAGCTTCATTGACTAATCATTTTGATGCTGATTTTTTTCAACTCTACTCTATTCTCGTTGATATATGCATGTCATTGCCTGATCATGTATCAACGTCATAGACGAAGAAACGTGTTTAGCAAAGTGAAGAATCGAGCATTAACTGTTTTTTGTCTTTTCAGATTCCGAAATAACATAACATAGTCATGGAAATTGACAAAACAGACAGAACCATTGAAGAAAATAAAAAAGAACGACGATTACTCAACATTGAAGATTATCGTCGACGTGCCAAACAAATCTTGCCACAGATGGTTTATGATTTTTATGGTACAGGCTCAGACGATCAAATTACATTGGACGATAACCAACTAGCTTATCGTCGTATCAAATTACGTCCAAAAATTTTTATTGACGTGTCTTCTCATGAACTATCGACTTCAGTGAATCGTCATACGAAGCTTTTAAATTCTTCTGTAACAATTTCATTTCCATGTATCATTGCTCCAACAGCATTACATCGTTTAGCCAATCGTGAACACGGTGAATTGGCTACAGTTCGTGCAGCTGTCGCACATTCAACGATTATGTGTGTTTCAACAGCTGCATCAACTAGTATGGAATTAATAGCTGAAGAACATCAACGTCATATCAAAGAACATTATCCTCAGAGTCATTCAGAACTTTGGTATCAACTATATGTATTTCCAGATCGACGACGAACACAACAGTTAATTCAACGAGCTGAACGTTGTGGCTACAAAGCAATTGTAATTACAGTTGATATGTGCGTATTAGGTAATGCATAATCCAGAAACAATGTCTACAGGTCGATTACGTTATTTTTGCTAGTTTTCTTCAGCTTACTGTATTTCTGCAAAACATAATACGCTTTTTATTTATATATGAATGGATAGAGCATTCATTTCTCTATCGATCGGTATATTTTTTATCTGATTTATCTCTCATCTTGACCAAGAATTTAGAGAAGTTCTCAAAGCCCTCAAAAATTTTTTTTTACGGTGATAACGTTTGTCTCAGGGAAAATGGGCCTCAGTATTTTTAAGATTTCTCCTCTATTATCCATGTGATTAAAGTCCTTTTTACTATCAAAAGATAGCGCTTGAAATTCTCTACAAAACTATA